GTAATATATCTCCTGCTTTAAATTTGTCCTTTATCCGGTTGTCGATTGTGATTTGAAGAAGTTGCCAATTTCTATTTCCGAGCCAGTGACCCTTGTTCACAGGGGGAGATCCACGTTGGTGGTCGTGTGGAGGTTTCTTTCCCCCTTATCGAGGAGAAAGATCCTATCAGCGTCCGGGTTTTTTTTTTGCGGAGAAAACAGTGGCCTTGTTGGCAATAGCTGCATGTGTGTGGAACCAGAAAGGAAGTATTCCCGCTTCGATGCAGGTTAGAGCGAGGGTTTTAATCAGCTTTTCGGCGACTGAACAGGTGAGCTCAAGGCCGTAGAGCAGCCGGCTGTCGATGATTGCCCTTGTCACTTTAAACTGAATGTTGCGGTTGTTGGATCGGTGCTGCCGATCCGCACCAGGTTTAGCCTGCTACGACAGCTGGACTTGACTGCTTGAAAGTGGGGCTGAAAACAAAGCTTGTGGTCGATTAAGACGCCCAGGACCTTTAATGTTTTCTGCAGCGAGATGGCAGTGTTATTTATAAGTATATATCAGTGGTCCGGTTACTCGATGAAGAGAGGAGCAGACGTGACACCTGACGCTCTCTGCAGCGGATAGCAGGAAACCAGTCGTACGGGCCCATCTGCCCTCCTCCGGGTGCCGTCCAGAGTTCAACCGACGGAAACCACGAGGACGTCATCGGTGTAGACGAAGATAAATATGTTGCGTGGAAGACGACAGAAGACACCGTTCATAGCTATCAAGCGTCACAGCAATGACCGATCCCTGGAGAACACCCGTTTCCTTGCAAAAAGACCGGGACCACGTGTCGTTAATCGTGACTCGGAAAGAACGATCAGTGAGAAAGTTTTTAACGAAGTGGACTGTTTAGCTTTTCAATCCTCAACCGACGAGTTGCTTGAGAACAAGGGGCGTCCACTTCCTGTTAAAAGTCTTAAAGATATCGAGAGAGACCATCTCAATGTTGTCTTCCTGTAAGACGTCTCCAAGTGTCGCAAAGTATGTGGAAGTGCCATACCCTGCCGAAACGCATGTTGTCGGTTGTCGAGAAGATAACCATTCTCGAGGAACTGTTTTAGCCTGTGATTGACCATCCTTTCCATCACCTTTGCAGCAAGGGAGTGCGAATTGCTTTCGAGATTGGCACAACTAGGCTCTGCTTCCTCCTGTCAGGGTACACCCCATTCAGCAAAAGCTGGTTGTATAGCTCTAACAAATTGACCTTGCATGGAACGGGCAAGTGGATCAGGAGGGGTAGCAAACCTCTTCTGGTCCGGCGGATTTGCCAGTGCTTCAGCTTAGCGCAAAGCGGAGCTCCTCCCAGGTGAACCCTAATAAAAATACCTTGAACGAATGATAACCCAAATCATAGAACTATTGCACAAATGGTTTGGATGATACCCGGTACACGTCCTTAAGCCAAATAACCATAACAATTTTATCAAGGAAGGCCTGGTCGTCGCACTCGTTGATAGCGGAAAGACCAGCGAAGTACTTACCGAGTTCGTCCGCGTCAATGTTAGGGTCGGATACTGCGGAGCCATCGACTTGCAGATGTAGTGGAACCATACGCCACTTGCCACTAAGGGTGTCATTTTGACTCCAAAGGTCAGCCGATGACGTTGATGCTGTCAAGGAAGTTCAGGCGACACTGGTTGTTGAGCTTGCGGAGGCGGAGGCGAAGGCATTTGAGCTTTCGAAGTGCCTTTCGATGTGCCTTAACAGCCTTTTTGGTGTCGTCATTTCACCAGCGAAGGGCTTTTCGTCCTAGTCTGCTGCTCGTCCTCGAAACGGAGGAGGCGGCAGCGTCTTGAATCACGTCCGTAAAGTCTAGAATGATATCCGGGTTGCGTTGCTCTAAAATGGAACGGATATTTACGTCGTTTGTTGCCCAGTCGACTTTCTCATATCTCCAGCGGGGTCTGCAGGTGACTGCATGGACGGCGGTGGCGTGAAGCTGAAGTTGGACCGGGTAATGGTCGCTGCCGTAGAGGTCGGAGTTGACACTCCACACGATTTTGCCGGAAAACGTCCGACTAGCTGCTGTAATGTCGATTGCAGAGGCGTGACGTCCGTTGAAGTAGGTGGGAGGCTCCATAGAAGGGTTCGATTCAGTCAGGGATGCACCAGAGTCAGGCGGATTCGTTCCACCCAACCAGGGCGGGGATGACACAACGGAAGGTACGGTTGGCAGGCTCGGGCAGTGAACCAAACTAAACAGAGTCCCACCAAGGGAAGTTCAGGGAAGCTTCGTGAAGATTTAAGAATGGAGATCTTCAGGGCAGTCCCATTAATTTCATATAAATTGTTGGAACTGTGAAGAAATTTTGATGAATTAAAGAAATGCTGATAAGTTCAAGGAAATTTCATAAACAAGCTTCGAGGACATACGAGAATCTTCAATGGAGTTTAAAAAACTTCAAGGCAGTTCTGGTTTCTTCAGTAAAACTGCATATAACTCAAGAAAAACTCAAGAGAACGTCAGAGATGTAGAGAAAATATAATGAAAATTGTGGATTCCAAGTACCTCAGAGAAGCAAGGTCTAGAGATTTTTTACAAAGATCTTATGAGCAGTTCCAATAACTTCAGGGAAGTTCCAAGAACTGCAAAAATGCCCAGACTTTCATGGAAGTTTTAAATGTAAGCGTAAGTTCTGTAAGTGTAAGTTCAGATAAATTCAGAAAAGTTCCATGAACTTCAGAAAAATTTCGAGAGCCCTAAAAAAGTTCCGATAATTTTGAATTAGTCCAGAGATCTCTAGAGAACTTAAGAAAACTTTATTGAAAATTTTCGAGTTTCAAAGAAGCCCAGAGAACAGTTTTATTTGTTTCAGGACAGTACCAAGAACTTCAGGAGAATTCATAAAACTTTGGCTCCTCCGAGATAATTAAAACAAATCAAAGAACCTATAAGGGCAGTTCAATACATTTTAAGGAAACAACAGGAACTTTAAAGAAATTCGGGAAATTCTCGGAATTTATGAAGTTCCGAGTGCTTCATTCAATCTTGAAAAGAAACGTGAGCATGAGGAAATTTTGAGCAGATTTTAAGAGAATTCCGTGATTTTCATGAAGTTTTGCGTTAAAAGGGGATCAGAGATCTCAGAGCAGTTCCATTAATTTAAGAAAAAATGCAGGAAGGTTCATCAAGTTCCAAGGAGTTTTTGAGATAACCCGAGCATTGAAGAAGCTTCATGCATCTCCAAAGAAGTTCAGGAAAAATTTGAATTCTTAGATGAAGTTCCGTGAACTTTTAGAAATTTTTCAAAACATATAGAAAGTTACAGGAATATCTAGGAACCTCAAGGCAATTAAATTAACTTGAGTAATATAAAGGGGACTTTTAAAATATATTGCTAAATTCAAGGAAGCATAGAGTACTCTAACGGCACTATCAATATATCCTCTTTAGAACTTTCTCTAGCTAATAAATTATCGCACTAAAGCTTCATTTTGATATAAGTATCGGATTTCCTCCCAACTCTAATATTCATGAACTTCACGAATGAAGTAACAAAACACTTTGATGGAATTGAAAAACTGTTTATTGTCTTAAAAAGTTTATGGTCTTAAAAAGTGATTTCTTAAAAACGATCATGTTAATTGCAGTTGCTGTTGTTTTACTAAAAATATTATATTTTACCGTTGTCATTTAAAAAATACCTTTCCAATTTTAAACCTCCGTTATGGATTTGGAAAACTCTATGAATTTTATTTAGTCAAATGAGATTATAGACAGTGTTCATTCATATGATATGTTCTAGAAAAAAAAAGATTGAATAAATTTATTCCTAAGGCTTGATTGCATTATTTTAGTGTATATTAACTGTGCAGTAAAACATCCCGATAATAAGCAGGATATAAATACCACGCATCAGTGCAATAGCGTCAATGACAGCCTGCGACCACCCACAACCATATAACTGATTTTCAGTTCCGAACTAGAACTGTGACAAAACAGTATTCAATGGTAGGAATTCCATTTCTAGTACGATAATCAAGCAAGAAAGTTGAAACCAGTTTCTTTTCAATAATAGCATGATGCATCAAAATTGCATAGTACAAGTGCGCCCATCATGTCAAATCACTACTGCTAACGAGATCGCGAGGTGCTATGCATTTAAAAACCACGTGTTATATCATGCAATTGCAGTACAGGTGACCTCGATCTCCATCGCAATCGACGGGATCCAATTCAGAGCTACTGACTCTCATATTTTAAATATAAAAAAAAAACAGCGACTTGACAAATCGCAACAACGTGCTCTATACACTTATATTGCCATCTACGCACACCGGTCATTAATCATGCAGCGGGCGTTTAAAGGTTCAGAAGCATTCAGGGTAGTGAACAGACGGGTGCGTAATTCGGTAGACCTTCATTCAGGCCCTTCGTAGCCTTTCAATGAGAAATTTATTGGAAAACAATGCAGATAGAGCGCTGGGGCCTTCATGAGTATTATTTAAGAAAACGGGTAATTTCTGAGAGATTTTGAAGGTTATTGTATTGAAGGCTGGCAGTTATTTTTTTGTAAATGTTCATTGCTCACCCTACAAAAACAAAAAAACAGTTGTCATCGCCGAGGTACTTATTATGTTGTTCTACTTTTAGTCTAAGAACTTTTCTACGTAATTTAGTTGACATCTTGCAAAGCCATTTATGCCATGTCATTCAGATTGCACCGCACTTTACTGGTCAGCTGTTTTATGAACTCAGACCTTTTATATGTTATGTTTTACATTGGAAACAGCACTCTGATGACAATCTCACACCGTAGCAAACCTCAACTGAAGACATCGCTTCTCAAATCCAGCACGCATCATTGCACATGCTGGTTGTTTATGATCATTGCCTCTTCAACTTACGTAACGTAATAACATGCACTTAACGACTATGCCTGGCAACTGTGACGAAGAAAACTTAAACCATCGATTTACGGCCACTTACCCGCATTTTAACCTTTTTCATTTATTCCTTTTTCCCCACCAGCGCAAAACCAACAAGATACCAGCAATGTCTTCAACACCAGTTCGTGTCTGGAAAAACCATACCGATGTCCTCATCCGCGGATCAAATTCTACCTCTACACCAAGCGAACCCAACAGAATCCGGAGCTGATTGACGTCCTGGATCGAGAGTCCCTCTACAACACCCACTGGAATCCGAAACATCCGGTGAAAATTGTCATCCATGGATTCGGAGGCGGTCGGAATCTATCACCTAGTCCCGACATGCGGAAGGCATACTTCATCCGAGGCAATTATAACATCATCATCGTGGATTACAGCTCGGCAGTAACCGAGCCTTGTCTGAGTCAAATTGAATGGGCACCTCGCTTCGGCAGCCTATGTGTGGCCCAACTGGTCAAATACATTGCCAAGCATCCTCGTGGAGTTCCACCAGATAGTATGCACCTGATTGGATACAGTATAGGAGCACACATTGCCGGATTGGTGGCAAACTTTTTGAGTCCGGAAGAGGGCAAGTTGGGTAGGATTACGGGCTTGGATCCGACCATATTCTTCTATGCTGGTTCGAACAATTCGAGGGATTTGGACATGACCGATGCACATTTCGTGGATATCATTCATACGGGAGCCGGCATTCTGGGGCAGTGGAGTGCCAGTGGACACGCGGACTTCTACGTGAACGGAGGAACTAGTCAACCTGGGTGTGCGAGCAGTACCATATTTCGTAAGTAATGACACACATCTGGTCAAAATTTTTACTTAATCTCGATTGAATTTTAGAAACGCTCGCCTGTGACCACACTAAAGTCACACCATACTTCATCGAATCAATCAACAGTGAAAGAGGCTTCTGGGCTGGCCCATGTACTACACTAGTATCCTATCTACTGGGATGGTGTGAACCAAAGGACTCCGATTACGTACTGATGGGGGAACACCTTTCTCATAGGTTTAATTCCCGATTATTCAAAAAAAAAATGATAAATTCCTATTTCAATTTTTGCAGATCACGAGGAGTCTACTACGTAACCACCAATGCCAAACCACCGTACGCCAGGGGTTTCCCGGGAAAGAACCGGCGAACGGCCAAGAACTCCGACTACAGTGGAGTCCGACGGAAGTGAAATACTGACATCCAGTCATCGAAAGCAAAATGGTTGTGATAACAATACGATACTTAAAAATAACAAACAACAAGCAAATCAAACGCCGAATCAGTGACATATCGAACCAATAACTAGTTTTAAGCGATCGTGCAATCTGGAAGAAGGTGGGGAAAAGTTCAAATTCGCAGCGGTTTAACACTTATCGTTAGGAGTAAAATGAAAGGAGGAGGCTGGTTAGAGAAAGAAAGAATGCTATGGAACACTGATGGATTGAATTGTAAAGCTTGTAGGAGCACGTTGCAGCTAACGAAGCAATATGTAAGAAACTAGCAACTCGCCAAATAGACTAAGATTTCAAAAGAAGTGGAACGCAACTGCCGTGCAAAAACAAGCGATACCTGTTTTGAGGAATGTCACCTAGTTATTATCGAAGAAATGCAAGCGGGGGACTTAGTGATTAGATTAACATGTAGTACGGATAGAAATGTATAAATAAAGTGTTCACTTTATGATAAGTAAAAGCGTGTTTCTTATGGAGTTTCTTAACCGGGATGTTTTCAATCGTTGTTTTTTTTTTATTATAAAAGATTTCGAGCTCCCAAACATGAAAACGTGATTAAAACCATATTAAGGCAGAAAAACGCGATTAAAGATTTCGAAACTCCAAGCATTGAGGGGTGTTATGGACTTAACCCCAAACACCCCTCGATTCGTAATTTAGGCCTTAATTAGGGAGATAAACGCGATTAAAGATTTCAAACACTCTCCGATCCACAATTTTGGTCTTCAGGATTTAAACGTTATTAAATATTTCGGAACTGCCAATCACCCCTCAAATCGTGGTTCAGGCCTTAATTAAGGAGATTAAATATTTCGAACCCCAAACACCTCTCAGATCGTGATTAATTTATTTATAAACACCATCTTTGGCATTGGAGCCACACAGACTGAATAATAGGGACTTAATTCTATTCTTTAAAACTAGTTTACTAATATTAAAATCAAAAGCATCACACACATCATTAAACAGTCTGCAACATTTGTCTGTAGGAAGATTCGGCGGTCGATAGTGTTTGCAGTCCAATAAGTGCACATCTGTGTTCGGTGATAGATGGTAGGTTATCGGGAATTGTCCGTGGAAGCTGTCGAAAGGCGAATCTGACAAAACGTTTCAGGATTCTTTCGATGCGCGATATGTGTACAGCATGATATAAAGCCAAGATTTGAACTTCATATTAAAGAACGCTACGAACCAAGGAGCAGTACAATGTTTTCAAAGCGTGCACATCATAGAATTGCGCAGCGTTGCGACGCAGGAATCCAAGTAAGGCTTTTGTCGTTGACATAAATATGTGCTCGTTGAATCTAAGTTTGCTATCCAAGATCTTTAATAGAATCAACTAATTCAAGCGGCAATTGATTCATCGAATAATGTAATGACAATGCATTTGGCAGTGTTTGCTTGCATTCCGTTCAACTGACACCACGATGTTAACCGCTCGATGTCAGTTTGTAGAGCACAACAATCTAGGATCAATTTGATCAAATGGTAGACTTTCAAATCATCAGCATATAACAAATAACAGGAACTTAAGTGGTCACCAGTCTTGTAAGCGATCACCGCAGTCGATGCATTTTCTGTGATAGTCGACTGCCTTTGATTCCGACTTTTGCAAAACAAGCTACCAAATTACATTACCAAACTAAAATGTCATATGACAGGCTCTGTCATACGACACTGTCACCGCAGGTCGTCGCGAAAGTATGTATTTTAGTTTTTCTCATAATAAGAGCTGCTGATGTTGTGCTTGTGTGAAGTTTAAAAATAGCAAGCAACGATGTCGTAGAATTAACATTTCTGACCAGAAAGGGTTTAATTTCCACCAAATTGAGGAATTGAATTCCACAACTATTCCAAGTCAATTAGGCTTCAAAAAAATGCCCTGAATTTATATAGAGGTTCCCGATCAATAATGAGCTTTCCTGAAATCAAATAATGTTCCCTTAACTTCTACAAAACTCCTCAAACTTAAATAAATTTGCCACTTGTACGCAGTTTTCAGAACATTTCCAAGTTCCTAATTTCTAAGATTTTTCCTGAAGATCTATGAAGTTCCCAGAATTTTTACTAAGTTGCTTCAATGTTTACGATGCACAGCGAAAAATAAATTTTAATATTACATCCAATAGGATGCACTTCAATCATGTTGAAAATCGCATGTACTTTTGATGGCCACAAAAGTAAACAATTGCAGTAAAAGCAGTGTAATGTCAGTTGATGCACTATTTTAATGATATTTTTTTCCTTTTTGGTATGTATTTTTTTTTTATTATAGTCACTTTAACACTCTTGGGTCATTCGTGACTTGTCCGGGGGTGAGATTTGAACCCGTGACTTTGGCGTGAGAGGTATGGATGTTAACCACTATGCCGGGGTCGCCCCCTTTTGGCATGTAATATTACACCATATTTTTGACACGATTGAAAGGCAGCCACTTTGATGTGATATTAAATTTTTTTTTGCTGTGTATAAGAAAAATCTCTAGGCTCATGGCCAATTTGTAGAGCCTAAAGACGTCTTATTATACCATCGGTTAAATGTCGATGTAAAAAAAAAATGTTTCTTCTAGTCTATAACATAATAATAGAAGTCAACATAAATTTGTTTAACAAAATCTTTGGGGAAGGGGGTTCTAGATAATTCTGGAGGGGCGATAGATATTTCTGGAAGGGGCTTGGCCCCTTGCCACCCCCTTAGCTACGCCAATGGTGTTTAAGGCTTCAAAAGCTACTGTTTACCAATAAATACTTCAAATAGTATTGCCTAACTAAAGCCAACCAAGACACCATTGTGGAATGCTCTTTGGCAGGGGAACTATGCCATTAGCCCGAAGCACTGAGATGCTGGCACCAACTAGTATTGTGGTTACTATTTGTTCATCACTTTATTCAATAGGGTCAGATCCATCGTTAGCATAAGATGGGTAAGTGTGTCAGTTTTTGATCTTAGTGTTCCTATAATTGACCCTGCCTGATTCACATGGTAACCTCGTTTTTTTCTTTTTTTTTGCCTGTTCAGGAACCTTAAAGAAAGCCATAATATTTATTTAATTAAATCTTCAACAAAATGTTGAACTGATATTTTCTAGGCTAGGTGTCGAATTCTATGTCTGTAAGTAGACTTACTAATGTTAACATCATATACATCAAACGTTTCATTAAACACACGACAGCACAAAGTCCACAGTTCGTTGAATCCATAGTTGGTCCCGATGGGTAGGTTGTCACAGAAGCGTGTAACTACGTAGAACTCTTTGAGAAGCATTGATGTAGATTTGGCTCACAAGAGAGTTGTAATCCACGTCACCGTTAAGCAATCCAAACACGAAGAGTCACTGAAGTAGTTTCCTCCTTGCTGCCAACGTGTCCAGGTCATGCAGCCTGCACCGTTCTTCGTAAGGCGGCAAATTTACCGAATCGTTCCAGGGCAGAACACGTAAAGCGTATCTTTCGAAGTTTTGCTGAATGGCTTCATTTTTGTTAGCTTGAATAGCGTGCCCACACAATAACAGCATACTCTAGAAGACTGCGGACAAGAGCACAGTATAATGATTTCAGCGCGTAGATGTCCTGGAATGCGTTTGTGTTTCGTTTGAAGAAACCTAATGTGGCGAATGCTTTAGCAGTTATCATGGAGATGTGCTCATTGAATCTGACTTTAGAGTCGATTATAACACCCAAATCCTTAACTGAAGAAACGAAGAGCAAACTACTGAGTCCTATCCTATAGTCATGTCGTAAGGGCTCGCGTGAACGACTAAAATATATTGCGCAGCATTTTGTGACATTAACCTGCATACCGTTCAATGTACACCAGCGCAAAAGGGAATCAATATCCTTCTGGAGTGCGCAACAGTCAAGCCTTGACATAATTGTACGCAAGATCTTTAAGTCATCGGCGAACATAAGAACACAGTCGACTACACAGATCGTTCACGAACAGGATGAAAATTAAAGGCCCCAAATGGCTACCTTTGGGAACACCAGAGGGTATCTCGAAACTAGGCGAATTAACACCGTTAATGCTCACATAGGCTGAGCGGTCATTGTGTGATCTCATTCTTGCTGGATAAAACAAGACAACAAGAATTGCCGCTATATCTAGGTCATATCTCATACCAACCTGACACTACGCATTAGTTTAAGATGAATCCAAGCAATTATAATGTACATTTAGAGATGGAAAAATAAATTTCAGAGATGTCGTTTCAACTTATTGTCAAAACTGTCAATCCCATCCGGTAAGTTTAACGTTAAAATATGGTGCACCTGATTCGTTAGGCAAACTGTGAGTAAAAAAAATTAGTTCTTACGTGAAGAAAAGGATGGATTAAGATCTAAGGTCACACCTTTTAAACAAATAACGATACTCAGATTGGAGCTTAGAGATTGTAGCATCTTTGGCTGTTGCCCTATAATATGTAGTAAGTAAAATCATTCCTTTGCTGTCGTTTAAATGAGCCATGGTTCAGCCGTAAATATTGTTCTGATGGCTTGAATGTTCATGTTCTGGACCAGCTTCAAATATCCTTCAGAACATGTACCGCTAATATCCGAAGTGAAACTTATGGTTTGAGAATTTTCAGCTGTAAAGACTTCTTCGGCTCTACAACAGGTTGAGCAAACGCTGCCCGTATTGTTACCTGCAATTAGATAAAAATTATTAGAAGTTATTAAAGAAAGTGTTTTGTTGATCACTAAAGAGAACTGCGTAAATTAACTACCATCAAAATCTCGGAAAATGTTAGTACGGCGGAACATTTGAAGGAGATGGCCACACTCAGGCTTCGGTTAGTGCCACTAGGGGAAGAAGTGAAGGGCTACTGGTTCGTTGCATTGATGTTGTAAAGCCTCCCCAGTTCGTTCGACGGATTGATTGGATTGGCACTGATTATGGTATTAGAAGTAGGATAGATGCAGATAGATAGACCGTGAAGGGTAAACTGCTTAACGAAGGTCGACGTCGTGCTGAAAGTGAGTGAATGAACACAGCCAAGCCAAAGAGTGCAAGTAAGCATTACGGGAAGAAGGAAGGTTTTTTTTTGTTTATTAAGGTCATTTTACAT